TATACCCTAAACCCTAAACCGAAAATCCTAAGCCCTAAACCGAAAATCCTAAACCCCGAAACCCTAAACCTCAAGGGTTCAGCATGTAACCTTGACAGAAAGCTACCCTAAACCTTACAAGCCTACCCGTCAGCATCTAACCCTTACAGAGAGCTACCCTAAACCCTACACCCTCGGTTTAGGGTTTAGGGTTTAGGGCTTAGGGTTTAGGGTAAAGCCATGGGGTTACAGCGTTTGGGGATGCCTGGGAATGGCCGGGAAAGCCATGGAGTAGAGGCCCAAATAATTACCAATCTTATTTTGGGGGTTCCTCATCAGAAATATAGTATAACCGTAAACCCTAAACCCCTAAACCCTAAACCCCTAAACCCCTAAACCCTAAACCCTGAACCTTAGTATAACCCGATTCTAATTATTAAGGCCCCTACATTAGAGGCTGGTGGTGGACCCACGGCCGATGCTGGCAACTTGGCTTCGACAGAGTCCGATCTCTCCAGTTTAGGGTTTAGGCGTTAGGGTTTAGGGTTATTTGTTATTTATGTTCTTAGGGTTGCTGAATATGAGGGCCTTAATGCAGCGCTTGGTTTGGTGTATTTTACATCTTCCCTGATTGGGCTTAAGAGAATCTCAGACGAATATATTCCTGAGGCTCTAAAAAATGGGAAGCCCGAGATAGGACTGCAGTTTCCTTTCTCAAGCTTAGCCCATCAGCAGTAGGGCTTGAATTTCGAGAGTGTGAGGTTGAGCGTTTTGGGGTTGGCAGATTTTCGGGTGTAGAGCGTACCTGTGGCCGAAAGGAACCGGCTTTTTGGAGGGCAATATATAGAAACCATAAACAGGAGCCCTAAGAAAGTAGGTTCTTGCTACAGGTAGGGATCGATGCTGCGGGTTTTATGAGGTCATTGCGCAGGCTTTCGTCTGGAAGCTGGGGTCTGGCAAGGGGACAGCTATTTCAAGCCCATCCTGATGGCTCCAGCCCAAAACCCCAAAACCCCGGCTTGCCACCCCAAACCCTAAAACCTAAACCACAAACCCTAAACCTCAAACC